GCAGGCGGCAGGCGGGGATCGAACTCATGCGGAAGTGGCTTCAGATTCTCAGTGCTGTGCTTTAACCCGCTGCGCCACCAGGGAGGGCCCACATTAAGTATTTTTAAAATATTTTTTATTTATGTATGGGGTACAGGCCAGAGGTACTGGGGTGGTGAGAGGATTCACCAGAGACAGGGTGGGGAGCAGAATAGGCAGATCCATGAAGCACACTGCTGAGGGGAGCAGCAGGTGATGACGAGAGGTCTGCTGTGCCATGTGGGTCACATCTGGGGCGGGGATCGAACTCATGCGGAAGCAGCTTTAGATTCTCAGTGCCGTGCTTTAACCTGCTGCGCCACCAGGTTCCTGCATTAAATATTTTTTAAAACCAAAGTAAGGAAACTAAAAGTCCAGGAAGATGAAGCAAGCCATGTCTGCTCCAGGGCGCCTTGGTGACAGTGAGCACCTGTGTGCAGGTACACCTGGCACCCCAGGACCTGCGTCACCATGGCTGTCACAACTGTGCAGCCTGGCACACGCCCAGGTCACAGAGTCTCTGGAGAACGTCACTTCCTCCCCCTGGGCTGGATTTCATCCTGGCCCTGAGCGCACAAAATCCCTGCTACTCTTTCGTGAGCACAGTAACGGTGCATTTCTTAGAATGTGTCCCCATGGTTCAGGGCGCACGACTGTCATTTACCGCATGTCACCCAGCTAGTAAGGGCGTGTAAGAAAACTAACATCAATTCCTCTGACTCTAGTCCCTGGCATCTTAGCTGTGCACCCAGCCGCCCCGGGAGCAGACCCAGCAGAGAAACCAGGCAGTTGTCCGAGGCAGAGAGGATGTCCATCTGTGGACAGAGGCTGCCTGTGACCGCTGGAGGTTTTGAAGACAGCGGGGGAAATGGGGCCCACGTTGGCCAGCCCAGGAGAGAGGCGGCTTAGGGACTCAGCTGGAGAAGAGTCTCGCAGACTGCCAGCTGCAGAGGGCAGCAGAGCTCCAGAGAGGCTCCCCGGGGCCTCTGGTGATGGGAAGTACCCACAGGTGCGCCTCTCCCTTCAGCTGTTCCTAATCTGGGTTGACCTCACTGTAACTCCAGCAGCCGTGAAGTGAGCAGTCACAAGGCCCTGAGCTCAGAGCCAGGGGCCAGACACTGCGTGAGGAGAAGCAGTGGTCCCAGGCCCGCAGCATGGGACCACTGCCTGCAGCAAACGGAAGGCACCTCCATTGCCCTTCACAGTTTTCTGGAAGCTTCCCATTTTAAAGGGCACGGCCCTAGGTTTACAAAACCCTGGTTTTGGCCTCGCTATCATGAGCGGGTGTGCAAGCAGCCTTGCTGAGTGAGGAAATGAGCAAATGATCCGGTCTCTGCTGGTGAAGGAAGAAGGAAAGGCTCTGGAGCAGATCTGTAGGTCTCTCGGGGACACCGTTTCTCAGGTAAGTGTCACTTCTCCAGGGCATCGAGGGGCGCTCTCTGTGGTGGAAGATCGACCCTGCCATCTGGCCCTGTGCCCTGAACCCACACAGAGCTGCTGTTTGCAGAAGTGGTGGCCAGTGGCGCCTCCTGGTAACCGGGAGCACGACCACAGGAGAGAGGTTGGAGCTGTGCTGCAGCTGGCAGGGAACCACACTGAAGCTGTTGTTTGAGCTGAGTTTGGAGGGGAGGGGGTCTCGCTATAAGGAAACACAGGGGCTGGTGGAAGTGAATTGGGCCCCACCTGGCTCCCACGTGCACCCGTCGGGCTGTCGAGGGCTCTGTGACCCTTCCCGAGGAGGGAGGGGCTCGGGCGGAAGCCGAAGGAAGCATGTTCTGAAAGGCCGCGGTGGCCAGGTCTACAGGCAGGCGTGGCATTGCGACTCCATCCCGTCCTGCCTCACCAGACAGCCCCCTGAGCATCCTGAGGCCACCATTAGAAAGTGGGGTTCTTGGGCCCACCCTGGTGGCACAGGGGGTTAGGACGCAGCACGGCAAGCTGGCCACAGTCACTCCTGTGCGAGTTCGATCCCCTGCCCCGGAGGTGACCACATGGCGCAGCAGACCTCTCCTGACCCGCCCGCTGCTCCCCTCAGCAGTGCACTTCGACGGTCGGCCTGTTCTGCTCCCCACTGTCTCTGGTGAATCCTCTCGCCGTCCCTGAGCCTCTGGCCTGTACCCCAGTTCTGTATGCACAAATAAATAAATCTTAAAAAAAAAAAAAGTGGGTCTCTTCGATGGACAGCAGAAGCAGAGGTGCAGATACCACAGGGGAAGGGCCACGGCCCGTAGTGAGCGCTCAGGCCCCTCAGGCCGGGCACTAGCACCAGTATCACCTCACCCACACTGCAGCCGCCGCCTGGGCCTGGAGTTGTGCTCTGAGTATTTCACTTTAGTGAGCCCCTCTCAGGTTCTCACGGAACAAATGCAGCACCCCCAGCCTGTGGGGCTCCCCCTGCAGCAGTCTTTGCACCAGGAGCACCTGAGGGCTGCTCACGTGGCCTAGCTCCCATACTCTGGCTAGGACCAGTGGAATCCTGACTCAGAAGCTATTATGATGCATGAAGCCTTCCCAGCAGCGCCTTTCCAGGGATGCCCAGGGAGAAGTTAGCAGACCTCGGGGCTTGTGCACCACTGGTAAATTTATTGGCTAATGAGTAAAATACAAGTGATCTCCCAGCCAAGACCAAGACCTCCCCCCCCCACCCCCATCACTTCTGAGTAGCTGAATACAGGAGGACTAAGATCTCGAGGTGTCACCGACAGACCCTCACTCAGGCACAGGCTGGCATAGCTCCGCTGGTTTCCGCTGTTCTTACCCATCTGCCAGGGCTGGTTGGCAAGGTAGGAGGGTCCTTCAGAACACCTGAGAGGCCAGAATTGTCCCCAGGATGTGGGCGGTGGGCACAGTGTTTCTATAATAGCATCACTTTATTTATGAACTAACTGAAAAAATTCTTGTCACATCTGTTCAGAACAGGCCATTTTCTTCCGAGTCAGGACACAGGAGAGGGGCTTCAAAGAGTCTTCTATTTTTTTGGAAAGAGAAAGGGAAAACTGACTTGAGCTCGGTGCCTACCCCTGTTGAGTGTCTTCCAGAGAGAGTTGCAAGCCTTTAGGGGCTGGAAGGGGGTGGCGTCATGGGACTATGTCCTCTGTGATTACTTCATCGGTCAGTCAGTAGGAAACTCTGGCCTTGGGGGGCTGGCCTTCACCCCTACTAGGCTTGAATGACCTGGGAAACGGAGTCCTGAAGGCCAGGGCTCAAGCTGGATGGGACCCTGAGTCAGGCCGCCGTGCTCCCTTCGCCTGGGTGCGAGGAAGCAGGCCTCAGCCAAACGAGCCATACACCTCGATGTGCTGAAGAGGAGCAGGGCTGGGTTCCGTTGCCGCAACTTTCACAGCCCATTTGCTCTGGCAGTTTGTGTGTGTGTGTGTGTGTGTGTGTGTGTGTGTGTGTGTGTGTGCGTGCACTACCGTTTGCCTCCGTCCCACTATACACCACAGAAGACACGAAGACAGATGCTGTTACTCTTGCTTATCTCCAACATCTAGCAAGGTCCTTGTCTATTGAATGAGTGAGTGAGTGAGTGAGTGAGTGAGTGAATGAGAGAATGAGTGAGTGAGTGAGTGAGTGAGTGAGTGAGTGA